CTATAAAGACGCAGATCCTAAAACAGGCCTTTTCTCAAAGACTATCCAACTTAGCGAGATGGCTGTGAACTCTCAGCAAATCTGTCCTCAAAAAATCTCCTCATTTTTCCAAAATGAAGATCTCCAAGGTTCAGTTTTTGATAAGATTGAGATCTTTTGGCCAAACAACTTACTTAAGGTTGGTGATTAGCAAGCCAAGGGCATGAATTGTAAATTGTGAGGTGAGGGTTGCTAAAAGCTTCCATCTAGCAATATTCTTGGCAAATTAGGTCTTGCAACATAATGTTCATGAACGGATTAGCTTTGACACCTAACATATATCGTTTTCGTTCGCAATCTAACCCTTTAGGAGCATTGATGTAGCTGATTTCTTGATCAGAAAAACGTCTATAAAAGAGTAATTTAACCTGTTTTAAGATTCACTTAACTTCTCATCGTTATGTCTACTAGGAAAGAATCGTTGTAGTTGACAGTCCAGGATTTGAAAAATCACGCATCGTGGAGGAGAAAGTAAAGGCGTACCTTTCTGAAGCTTTCGCAGTTCTCTGCGTTATTGACAGTTCAGCACAGCAACAAAGGGTAAGCTGTATAAACAAGTGGAGTTCACGCACCCGAACTGTTCCATAGCAGGGATTATAAATATGTTTTATTATCATTATTATGATTATTATTATAAGAATTATTATAGTTACCGCGAAGGAATTTTCAACTCCATGTGCACGTTTGTCCTTAGATGCAAGAAACAATCAAACAATGCAGAAGATTATGTCTTGACCAACTGGAAACCTCCTCAATTTTTCCTCTTTTCCTATGTAACAATTGGCACCAATTATCTCAACTCAGAGAATATTGGCCTGAATTAGACCCAGATTCCCAAACCATTTTCATTTCATCGCCTTACGCCACAAACGATGACACAGCCGTCGCGGAGTTTGCGTCGCTGATGGATGCTGTTAAATCCACCGCCTTGCAAAGCAATAAAGAAACGCTGCAAATGCAGTGGAGGTACGTTCTGTTATGACTATGGAGGATCTTAAAAAGCTACGTGGGGTTATTGTGGCCCCAATTTACACCTTAAGTGATGCACTATTTTAAATGCATTCCTATCTTATTAAAAAGACCAAGTTATGTTGCCCAATTGTTTTGATTTAATGAGGTTCACTCATGTGCACAGTGAAAATTATAATTTACACATACGCAAAGGCATAGAAAATTGTGGGGTTTACTTCTCTATGTGGCTACTACAAAGTGCTTTATGGGGAAACTTTGGGTAAAAGCCGAATTCCTTAACGCCTAGATACGCTCAAAATCGCCATGAATTTAGAAATGAATTTCTTCCTAGTTTGTTATCGCCCACATGGAATGATAAAGAATAAGTTCAATAAACATTCTGGTGAAAAATGAACTTGTAGTCTGTATACTTTCATCTCTCATGATCAGGTGGCTTGACTTAGCCATTTCACGTATGGCCTACCACATGAAAATGGTCATGGATCATTGCCCTTCCACCGATCGTAAAATCGTCTCTTCACATTTTGAACGCCTTCGTGACGTTGAGATGCGCCTGTGCTCAATTGAATACGAGTTGCAAGAGTATTTCAGAAAACTGGCAGACGACGCCGTTAGGGTACTGTCCAACCACCTCCAGTCTTGCGAAGTTATGAAACAATTTACCTCGTGGACGCTTGATGATATTCCACACGCTGGAGAAAGTTGGGAGGTGACCGAACATCTTATCCAAGATGCATTTATGAAGCGACTTCAGACCACGATTACCGCGTGGGAAGAAAAAAGCCAAATTTTATCCTACTCTTGCAGATCTCTGGTCCAATTGTCCCACCAGCGATTTGATAAAACTAAGAGTCTACTACCTCTCCGATACCTAAAAAACTCCGTCATCACGGATGCTGGTGCTAGTGGATCACATACTTGCCAGTCTTCAAATGACTTCAGCGAGGCACAAAAAGTTATGATCGGGCTGACAAGTCCAATTTGGGTTCCAGTCGGCCTGGCAGTTTTAGTTGGCAGCGTCCCATTCATGGGTATTAGGAGACTTAAAGAGAAAGTAACAAATTGGAAACGTTCGAGAAAATACGAAAAAGACAAACAGAGCTTTATCGTGCAAGCCTCCCGTGAATACCTTCGCAGTGTGGCTCAAGAGCAACACCTTTGGTTGTTCGTGGAGAAGGAGCTCAAAGATGTTAAGGTTTACCTTACGAAAGTATCATCTTGTTTGCGCGAGCTCATAGTCGCTGACAAAATACTATGCCAGCAGCTCAGAGATGAGATTCGCTCTGAGAAGGAAATAAAAGAATTATATGGCCCTTTGGGAGAGATGAGTGTTAGAGAAAAGGAAAAGATGGCCCTCTTTTTCATTAAAGAATTACAGAGCATGGAAATAAGTCGTAACGACTTGGAGTGGGATCGAGACGATCCAATTTCACTTCTTGGAAATGGAGAATTCGCTTCAGTTTATCGAGGAACATTCAGGTTACCTGGACAGAGCGAACCAACACAGGTGGCTGTGAAATTATGGAGTAAAGAACTAAACGAATCCACCGCGATTGGCTTCCTTTCTAACACAGAAAGAATGAGGTTAGTTACTCCAAGTATCGAATGAAAATTCTGATATAGCTGCAGTTAATACGTAAAAGAGGGCTGTCTAAAGAAGAATTTAATGGGATTTGACATCTATAGAAAATTAGATACTTAAGTTAGATCGTAATGATAACATGGCAGTTGAAAAACGCCGAAATACTCGGGTACTTTTAAATCCTATCGAACTTGAATAAAGGTCAATGCAATTATATCTTTTGTAGGAAGCTTGGCTCTCCCTTTATTGTCAAGTTCTTTGGGACAGCATTGCTGAAGGAAGGCGATCGATTGCTGGTGATCCATGTTTTGGAATTTTGCGAGGAAAACTTGATGAATCATATTTTTCAGAATCCTGAAAATATTCCTGGATTTTCTGAAAAAACCTCCGCTAAGAAAAATGTACTGTGCTGGGCAAAGGACATAGCTGCTGCCATAGAGTTCATACACAACCAGGGCATTGTTCACCGCAGACTCAAGCTGGAGAAAGTTTTGGTGAGTTTCAAATAAGTCTGAATTTAATTTCTACAGTTGCTTCGATTTGAGTCTGCTTATGAGGGTCAGTTCATCATGAATTATCTAATACGTTAGTCAAATAATTAAGACTTACAAATTAAATGTAATAGTTGTTAAATTACGCTTAAGTACTCTTTAATCAACAGTTCGCGGTGTCGAGTGACGAACTGCGAGTGCTTCCAGTCAATTTTGCAGAAGAGACCTTGTAGCTCCTAAAAGGCCCGAAAATATTTTTATGTTTATAACAACTTTGCTCATTATTCACCTCTTTTCATAGCTTTCAGAAAGAAACGTCGTTAAGGTCTCTGGTTTTCGCCTTTCTGAAGAGACTAAGACAATGGAAACCGATGCCTATCTTGCCTCCGAAGTGATCTTTTGCGAAGAGTACGATAACAAGCTTAAGGCTGACATATACAGCTTTGGTATAATGCTTTGGGAGATGTGGTATGGTAAGAGAGCCCTCCTTGAAAAAGCGGAACATGTGTCGTACCAAGAGGGTGCAAGACCTTCATATGTACAAGACGTGATCAAGCCTCCAACTAGCTGGCAAGATCTAATGCAGCGTTGCTGGGATGGAAAACCCCACAATCGACCAGATGCGGCAGAGTGTCGCAAGCTGTTGACTGTGCTCTCCCAGGAAGTTTACGCACCACCTCTATGAACACTGGTTAATATTAGGGCAGCCATCTTGATCGTATTTCATATTTAAAGGTAGAATTACTGATAACAAATTCGTTCTGATTACTGTAGTTAATAGCAAAGAGTGAAATACAAGGAAACATACATCATGATAGAATACAGTACGTGGTAGACTGTTGCCAGGCAAGAAACCATACGTATAGGCAACAGAAAATTATTTTCCATAAAAGCTGAAGAAAGTGTTTTCTGGATGAAGGTAAATCTGTGTTTGAAGACCTTCTTTATGATATATCATTTTCGCATCGAAAAAGGCAAGAGCAGGGTTTTTTTTTGTCATCGCACGGTTTGTACCATAGTCTCACACTCAGAAAAAAAGGAAAAAAACATAAAAAAAGAAACAATTTCTTTTCACCTCGGCACTCTAACTTTTCTCACCAATATAAACGTCTACAGTATCGTTCTCAACATGCACAGCTATCGGTGATGTTTATCTCTGGATCACAGCATTGATTACATTATTACTACAGGTTTGTTTACGTAAGGAACTCGAGAGAAAGAGTTATTTCAGCACTTTGAAATCTTGAGACAGTGTAAGTATTCAAAGGTTCAAATTGTGTGAGTAGAAAACCGCTTAGAGACCTTAGGAGCATAGTTTCAAAACTGAGACGTGCACATTTGCATACGAAAATGTTAGGTCTGTATATTGGTAAACTGAAACATTTATGATGAACTCTTTAAAATAAAGGCCTAATCAATATCTCCAACACCTCCTAACAATATTCTTTTAAAAATTGTTCGTTTTTGAACGATTAAAGGCGATTTTCAGCTTGCAGTCTGTTGCAATGAAATCAAGACTGGACAAAACTTAATGCTGAGAAAAATTTCGGCCAAGAAGGAATCTGTAAAAAAACCTTAAAGCATCTCGAATATTACTTTCAATATTAATTTTGGAGTGGATCATTGACAATGAAAATCGTCGAAACAATATTAGAGCAGCTCATTGGTCGAAAAATGACATCTAAGACATTTCTTGCCAGGTTTTCAAAACAAAGGTACTTCCGAAAAGCGGATATGAAGCAAATAAGTGACCAAATCGCAAAACATATCTGGAGGCAGTATATAAGGACAACATTTTTTTCTTGAATGCACGAGAGAGGTCGATGGTCGTCCTCCAATCGTCAATGCTTCATGAAGATAAGCGGTTACAAGAGAAGTGGATTGCTGTTTGTGATGTGAGTCACTTGAGAATTTGGTGACGTTTTCCATAGCCAAGGTAAGGGATGTTTAAAAGGTCTCAAATTTCATATTGTCGGATGTTATGTTCATGCGCTTATTTGCATGTAGAGGACGTTCGGCAAGTTTAATTCAAAATCATTCAGAAGTTAAAGTTACCCCTGCCACAATTATGCCTTTTCGGTTCAAATACGGTGTTGTCTCATCTCTAAGGACATGGGTATCGCTTTTATTTTGAGATTTCATAACCAAATTTTGGGAGGAGACAGAAAATTGCACTAAGTGTTGCGACAGTAATCTTTTAAAATTCTTACAAAATGCATAGCAACTGACCATCCATCCGAGGCGTTACGGACCAGACTAACATTCTGTGTTTTTCACGAATAAGCGTTTTTAAAATCGCTTCGTACTGAAAGCTCTTAGTGTTAAAGTGCCTATGACTCAAGATTTTCTTTTGCATTTTCTGGTTAATAGCTGTATTTAAAATTAGAAATGATCGACCTTAGCGCCTAGCGAGTTCTCCGCCATTTTTTTGTGTATTGAAAGTACGATTTGGCAGCCAAAAAGCGTCCCCATTTAGCGCGCGGCCAAAACGATCATGTTACATAGCTGTGACGTACAAAACTGTGAAGACACACCGCTGACTATGGTGGAGAAAGGAGAAATCCAGAAGAAAGAACGAAAGTATTACGAGGCCGGAACGCCAAATGATGTTAGCTACAAGGGTAATGCACATATAACGGGTATTGCTATACACTACTTTCCAAAGGATTTAGCTGTATGGACAAAATGGACGCGTTTTGATCGTCGACATCGTGGAGATTTACTTTTCAATGTCGTCGGCCTTATGCTCCGTAGCGGCTTCGAAGATGCCTGTTACGAACGCATACCACTGGTCAAATCAAGGGAAGATAACCAATGAATTCAGCTAAAAAGAATGCTGATCAAGGGGTCTGTTCCCACACCGTTTCCACACCGCAGCAAACTAAACATTCAGTAACGGGAATTTTTTTTCTAATCTTGACCTAAACACCGCAGGCGAGAAACCGTCATGGTCAGTCTTGGTCGAAATCTTCGTTTGATGCATGCGGTTCTCCCTCGTAGGGCTGAACCGTACTCACAACTTCCATTTCTTCGCTAGTTTTTGAGTACGATGTATCACAACTCTCGGTAGAGCTTGCTGAAGGTAGGTATACATCGCTGTCGGATATTATTTCAAGAGCATTTCAACGCTGACTGATACAAAAGTCGATTGAGAGTTTTCAGAGTTTTCTACATCATCACCCGCTAATTCGTTATTGGTCTACGAGACACTTTTGAGATAAAATAAGAATACTTTAGGGCCTGAAAAAACCGAGTTTTAAGATTTCTGAAACTTTTCTTTCTTTTCTAGTTTGTACATGTACATATGATAAGCTAAATATCTACGCAAAAAAAATTCGTGTCATAGGCACTTTAAGCGAAGGTTTGCACGACCAAAAAGCATTTCATTTCATCATATCTCAACAGAAACCTTTCAATTGCATGATAACAATAATGATTAAAAAAAACCTTGTTATCAATGTGAAAACGTCATCTTCAATTTGACCCATATTAGCTTATATAGGTTAGGCCGCCTGGGTCTGACTCGTCCCAAGCCATGCCGGCGCCAGTCATCTCATCTTTATATAAGGAGGAGCGCGGGAGAGATAAGCAGGAACCCTTCCCGTCGTCCTTATCGTTGCGTTTGAACATGACAAGCTTTCCCCTCATTTGCGCTTAAAAAAGGATCAGCAGCAGAAGATGAACGGTTCAGCGCCCGTGTATATTGACTTGAAGAAGTATGGGTTCAAGTCATGCCTTCAATGTGGACTTCAACTGTTTCAGTTACATTACCAAACATAACCACAGGCTACCCAAACAAACTCCGTATCCGTGTCCGGCCGAGTGTACTTTTAAAAATAAAACATATAGTTGAGTTCCTTTAATTTACACTGAAGTAATCGTCTGCTGCTAAAACATTTAATTCATTAAATTTAATAACACACGACATTTACCAAAAAGTACTATTTATTTGTCACCAATATAACGATGTTTGTTGTTTTCTCTGAGCGTTACCAACCGCATGTGCTTTTTTACGGACATGTAAATGTGGGATGTGACGTTCTTATCGTATTTTCATGCAATTGATGAGCTTTTAGTTCACAAAACTATTGCTGTGTAGTAAATTCTAATACTCAGTGCAACAGAATGTTTGCGATTTAACTTCGTTAATGTATAGCACAATCAGGTGAAGAGATATACGAAATAAAACATGCGTTAACAAGCGGACAAGAAGAAACGAATTGTTCTTAACAACTTCACAGGAAGAAAGGTCATCGCAGGGAAAGAATTTTGTAGAAAGTCACGTTTCAATTGTTATTGAGAGCCATACCGGTGCCTTACAGAATCTAGTTTAGCTTAGAAGCCATTTGATGGAAGCAAAGAAAATAGAAAAAAAATTGCCTCGCTCCAATGAAAAGTACGGCATCGTAGTTCATTTGAAAGTAGCGATTCAGTCCCGCTAGATACATTTTTTCGGCTTTTTCTTTTTCTGCGATAACTGAATTTGGTTGCGATTAATTTGAGAAGATCAACTATTTACTCATTGTATCGCGGCAACCTCCTGCCTAATCCCTTCACCCTTTGCGCGCTCACTGGTTTTTCAGCACAGAGTAAGAGTAAAGAAGATGATTATTTTATGAGCGTGCGGTGATATGTTTTTTTAACGATCACGTCTATGTCACCTGAGAGGAATTGAACCCTAAAAGACGTTCGATTTCGCACGGTTCCGATGCTCTATCGCCAACCTACAGAGGACTCGTTACCATTACTAAGTTGAAATGTAGGTATACCGTTTAGCGTTCATTAAATTAGCTTCATAAACAAATATCCTCCGGACACAGATACCAACGCCACAATGCACGCTCAGAGAGCAAAAATCGCATCAGTAGAGCACGAGAAGAGGATTCGAAATACTAAAAGTTTGTAAACGCTTTCAGGAAATAAGAATGAAGAAAAAAGAACGACGGAATTTCCCGTTGTCATGCTTCGTGATACACATCACAGATTATGCTCTCAAGCAGATTATTTATAATGAGACGTTAACGGTTTTTATCAAGGTCAAATGAACTGGCTAATCCCAGATCTGTCTTCTTTGGTTTAGGAACTCTTTTCTTATAGGGATGTTCGTCAGTTTCACACTAGAGCTCGAAATCTCCTGAGGAGATGAATAATGTTCTCTATAGTTTAGGGTACAATTTCCCTTTTGAAGGCATTACATTGGTATGGAATTACATTTTTTCAGGTATCTTGAACGGCACGTTTATAACAATACTTACCGCGAGTAATTGAATTATTATCATACTTAACACTCTAGCATTGTATGACTCTGTTCTTCCGGCACTTTCGTAACATCTCAGAGAGATTCAGCCGGAATATGCATCTAAGTTCACGTTCGTGACCGAGAAAAGTCACGTTCTTTTCAAACACACGTCACAATCATTATCCTTTAATATTAAATTTCTGTCATATCCGCTGTCAAAGTTTACAATTCGCAACAACGGGAAACCTCATTTTTCACACTCAATCGTCATCACTAACTTGTATCAAATTTCTGTGACATTGTAATTATATATAGACGACTATCATACAACACAAGGACAGTCAAAAGAGCTTCATGAAGAAGGCACTACAGCTGGTATTCATTAACAAGAAAACACAATAACGGTAGGTCTGAGAAAAAAGAAATACCTAGCTTTTAAAAACCCAAAAGCATACTTTGTCGCTAAGGAACATGAAATCTCTATGCTGTGTTGCTTTTAAAAGCTGAAGTCCCTTGTAAATATCGTTTGACAACATTTAACATTTGACTAAGGATAAAGAATTACGCTTCCTTCCGTCCAGTCAAGAACGTTGAGAAACCTATTGATCACCACACGTTTTAAATTCGAGCGAGCAACCCGACGTTTTTGGGAACGTAAATAAGACTGGATATTTCCTTGTCATCACCGCTTCCCAGGGGTTCGATTCCGTGAGATACTCAACGGTAGTCTAAAAATGATTTAGCTTTTCTGCGCGGATTTATCAATTTAAACAAGGTTTCGTGTTCTCTGTAGAAATAGCTTACAGTATACTTTTTGTAATTGCTGGTGTGTAAGGTGTGACTTGAAATATTGAGACCAAATTTTCCGCGCCTCGACACATAAATCGACACATCGCTGTTATAGTTGGCCACCATACGCGAGAATTGTTCGAACTCTTTCATGCAATATGTGCGATCAAGGACCCCTTTTACGTTAGAAGACTGTTCTCGAGCGAAGAGTAGCGAAAAGGAACTTTGCCTCTCCGTTTATTTCGCGTCCAGTTTTCCGAAAAGCCACTTTCATCATGACAAAATGAACAAACAACAAATAAATAAACGAGTAAACATTCCGAGAAAAGAAAGAAGAAAAAAAGACACCACAACAAGTATGTGGAGAAAATAAAAGGAATACAACTTCTGTGACAAATTCCGACCGTTACCTCATTATGGAAAGTAAATTGTTCACGTAATTACACTTTATTCCCTAAAACATCGCGAGCAATGCTTACAGTCCCAATGACACGGATTTTCTAGCTTTTTTTCCCATCTTTGCCCCATTTTTTTTTTTTTTTTTTTTTTTTGGTCGAGGCATGCATAGTAGAGTTTATCATATTTTTTTCTATCTTTTGAAAGCATTTGCGGCTTTTTGGAGAATTTCGGGTTGACAGAGAAGCTGCGAATTCGCGTTATTTATTTATTTTATTTTATTTTTGATCACTGCAGCTGTGGCGGAATTTGATAACATGCATACCACTGCACGTTTCGTTTGACCTGCATGCCCTCTCAGAATTCAATTATAATATCAAAATTAAATTGAAAATTCGGTGTTCCTTTAAAATGTTGGGGGTCCGGAATAATGATATTTGAGCATAACTGACCATTTGAGACCTTTCACAGGTAGGATCTTGGACTTTTTAAACATATTTCGTATGATTTTTTAAGTGGCATGCGCCATGTTTGACTCACCGTTTTATAACTACAGAGAGTCTTTTGATCGCGGGAAAATCGTGATTGTCACGGCTTTTTTTTTTGCGTGAGGTGTCAGTTTAAACACGTATTCGAGTTCGAAGAAGAATCAAATACCCTTGTTGTCGGGATAACATGAACTTTATGATTTGAAAAGCTAAAATATCCAAGACACAAAAGGGGTGTAACTGTTTAAACCAAACAATAAAAACAACGTGAGCAAAGTATGTGATGTTAGCTGTGAAAGCATAACCTTCCTTTATCGAGTTTGGAAAACGATATTAGATTAGACTCGGCTTAAGAAGAGCGAAAAGAAACCTTTTCCTCTCCATTGATCCGCATCCAATTTTCCGAAACGCAACTTTTCGCGCTAGAAAACAAACAAAAGACAAAAAAACAAACATATAAACAAAAAAACAAACATATACACAAAAAACATTCAGAAGAAAAGAGAGGAAAAGCTTTTTAAGCAGAGCAAAAACCTTATACTGACAAGACGTGGGTTTAATTTTATCCCCACTTCACTGCAATATGGACTTGAGTTTATTTGCGCTGCAACTACACTTTATTCCGTGCATGAAATATTGCGTGCAGTTCTTTACGTCCCGATGACAGAAATTTTTTTGGTGAGGCAGGCGTAATAAGGTTCATCATTCTATTCCTATCTTTTAAGACCATTTCTGGCTTTTCGGAGATTTTCAGCTTCACAGAGAAGATACTGAAGTACAAACAATGTTTGTTTTTTAATCATTGTGATAGAATCATGTATCATAGACACTAGTGCACTTTTCTTTTTACATGCATTGCCTGTTGGCATTCGGTCAAAATGTTAAATTGAAGTGAATACTTTTCTGTACTATTCTTGTCCATGTTGGGGGATGGGAATAATGATTTTTTACCATAATTGTTCATTTGTGACCTTCCACGTATCAGAGACATATAGGACTGAAGATTTTGAAACATTGAGCTATGAGAAATGTTTTGTGTAGAGTAATTTTGTGACAAGCGTTGTTTTTTATCAAAAGTTACATGCCAAAAAATTTTTTCTGTGGCGTAGAAAATTGTTTAAGAAACTGAGAAAAAAGGCACGATGAGATCCATTAAGGATCACTTTTGGTAGCACTTAAACAAGATAAATTTATCCATTCCCTGCTGTTTAGGGCGGGGTCAGAGAAGAGAATATTCTTTCAGGGTTACTTAAAATACCTGGGGTGGAAGAAGTCGAAGATTGATATATAATCAAAAGAACAATTCAGTTGACAGTGTAAAAAGCAGACGAAGCAAGAGTTATCACGCACAGTTTCAACTGAAAGCTTGTGTGCATACATGTCACCATGTGATGACAATCGGTATCACAATCACTTAATTCGTTTTCTCTGTAAAGAAGTAAACTGTTCTTTTTTTGTGTAGTGAAAGTGGAGAACTTTGTGTCTATGGGGGTATTATTTAAGGTGTGTTCCAAGGTTTCGTTTGTGTAGGTCTCTTCAATTTAGAGGAAAGGAAAAGAAAAGGGTACATCAAATTGGAAACCGGCACTAATGGAAAAAACAATCAAGATTTGTTTAAATCTTTCGTATCGCCACACACTTTTTTATTCTATCAGGAAAGATGCTGATAACAGTTCAATGATATTTCTTTGAAAATAATTCGCTATTGTACATCTCAGAGGTTTCAGCCTGAGTTTTCGTAAGCCCTCTGATTTTACTCAAGGCTTATTTACGTTCGGCCATGTTCTGTAAGAGTAAATTCTGAATATCTTTCTCCTTATTTACCTCTCTTGACTAAGCGTGGGTTTTCAGCTAGAAAGCAATCATTGTGTATATATATTAAGTGGGGTGTTAATAAAGAGTCGTGAATACAATAATTTAGCTTTTAACCCGCAGAAACTGAGGATCATCTGATATCAAATATATCACAGATGATACGACAATTTCCGTTCAAGTTTGAGCTAGCGTGAGAAATTCGCGCCTCGTTCCATGTGCAAATAAGCCCGCTATCACGTAATTCAATTCCACGAGACCTATAAGGTCAGGGTACTTATAGCACGCCAAACAAAATTCGAAATACTTCTCCATCATTACTTTTCCTGAGGTCTGTAAATCTCCTGTTTCTCTCGACAACGAGAATCGGAAAGCTGGACATCTGATAGCTGGTATAGTATGAACTCTCTTATTTTTTCAAAATAAATTTCAAAACTCGCCAAAAATATGACACAAATGTGTCTAAAATACTGCTCTCAATATTTACCAATGTCTGCAATTATTTCCGTCCGGCGCTGTTTGAAGGCGTACAATGTATGCAACAAAACTGTGCTTTGTTTTTCTTTGTTATTAATTTTTGTCCGTCTATTTGGATATTCTGTAAAGAAAACCTTCTATGTAGCTTTTTATGTAAGCGTCCCTATTGTAAGACCTGCAGCAGTTTCCTCTTGGAATTCGCCGAAAAAAAAAAACAAAACAAACGAAACAAAACCAAACGAAAAACTGTGACTTGGATTGAGCTCATAGAAGACAAGTAGTAAAGAAAGCAATGTTTCTTATTTCGTTACTTTGCTCAAAAGATGAAAAAGTCTGGTAAGAACCTAAAAAAGTCACGTTTCAAAGAAATATCTCCTGCGGGGTTGATATGCCTGATTTTGGAATCGAAGATAAACTGCTTCAACATTTATACTGTAGCTTTGAATTGTTATAATCAAGCCTTTTCTTCCGTGTTGACCTTTTAAATGTTCCCTAGTAAATCTCAGTTGTTCAATTATCAAATAACGTTTTGTTTTACTAACAGCCGGAACATAGCCAATGCTAAATATGTTTGCTTTGTAGATGTAAAGCCCTAAATTAATATTATTTCACCTTTTTTCCCTGAAGGCTAAGAGATAACGCCCCAAATTTTCTCTCAAACTCCTTTTAATTTGGTCTACTTTATTTCTAGATAAGCTTGGTCTTAAACTGATCCGATTAACTCGAAACTTGACATAAGCCGTTTCAAATTTCAACAGCCACGTAAAACAAACATCATTACCGGAACAGAAAGCTCACAATAAGAGAGATTAGATCCTTAAAATTACTTTGTTCCATTCTTTTGGAAAGAGAACATCGTACTTAGTAAGCTAAAGGTTGGTGAAGCAGCTTTCTATGCCAAGCAGATTTAACTTGAAAATCCCAGCGAAGGTAATGAATACAAAAAGTCACTCTTTGTGCGTACAAAATCTGCATCCAACTCTCATTGTTATCAATTCTTGTCGTATTCACGTCGTGTTACTGACAGCACGACATTTACTTTATTAGCTGTGGAACTCAGAACAAAGGCTGGACATCTTTTCTATTGACTGTTTTCTTTGTCATCCTTCATTATTTCATTTTGTGAATATCTTATCTTTGTCCCGTGGAAAGAACAGGCTTTGTTAGGAAAAAAAAAGTTCAAAGAAGCGAATTTAAAACTGAACTCCCGGAAAATTTCCAATAAATATTGTTGAAATGTCTCCTAAAAAATTCTAAATTAAAATTTCTTACTTTTCTACTTGTTTGACAAACGTGCATCCATTGGGAAAGAACACATTATTTTTTTATGGTATCAGAGCTTATCGCATTGCGATCGTGTAAAATCCTCTCGAAATAATTCCTACTGAAAATAAATTTCAGCTGCGAAACAGAAAGGAAAAAATGTTTAATGTAAAACGGTTACTCGGTCGTTTATCGATTTTCAGTTATTTCTTTTATGGTCGTAATAGCCAGAATGCTTTATCAAAGTGGGAAAAAAAAACATTGCCAAAATAATGAATGCTCTCCGAGGAAGTTAAGGAAAACAACTGCCTTAAATAGCTGGGCGACGTCGATTATTAGCCTTGCTGTATAAAAGTTTCCGCCAATGATGACACAAAAACTTTACACGTCAACATTAAACTTCACACGACTCGCCTAAGATCAGTCAACATGTCTAACCTTTTGTCTCGCACCATTACTCCTTCTCATATATGCAGAAGTGAGGATGATATTAATGTTTGATATTTTTTTTTTATCATTATTTGACACAAGATGGATTCCCTTTTAGTATGGAGCACCGTCACTCTGATTATACTGCTTCGAACTTGTAAGTATTAACTTTGTTTCACCATTTCTCTCAACGTATATTAGCGTGTTTGACACTAATTAGACTGTGTCTTCTTTAATACAAAACTCATCGGCAAT